TATATCACTAGCAGACCAAAAACAAGGAAAGACGTCTCACCCACCCACTGCTTTTTTGTAAATAAAAATGTATTGAGACACAGCTACACCCATCTGTGGATAGAAAGAGGCTGCTCTGAGCCCCCCATAACCATGGTGCACAAGGCCAAGGACACTATCTGGCCATTTACATGGAAACATTACCAACCCCTATTCAAAAATAACCTGGTAAGAAATTGTCAGCAAAGCAAGAACTGGTAGATAAGACAATATAACAAAAAGATATAGAAAGTGAGATTGAAACACTTAGAAAAAAGAAACAAACTGAGAACCAAGAAATCATTTGTAACGTGTGAAAAATAGGGACTCGGCAGACGCCACCAGAAACCAAATTACTGCCGAAGAAAAGTAGCCTAGATAATGATTGTGAAACTGAAAGACCCAAAACTGAAATTAAATTTTAAAAAGAGTGGAAGATTAAAGGGGCAAATGTCACTTAAAAATCACAACTATCAACTCTTAATCCCCCTTTTTGAACTTAAAGGAATCTTTTAGGAAAAGCTCTCCCCTGCGGTGACAACACAATTACTTCAAGGACAGAGAGATTCTCAGTTTAACATCAGGATATTTTTCTTTTGTTACATTCAAGTAAAATTAAATTAATTAAACGGGTATTTTAAAATAGGATCTATATGTAGCTCTTTTTCCTTAAAAACACATACTACCTCTCTCCTTTCTGTGTATGTCTAGAGATAGATGTCCAGCATCATGTCCACCAGGTTAAAAGTTAATTATTTTGCAGGAGTATGATGGGGAGGGACTTTTTACTGTCATCTCTGTAGTTTTCCATATTGCTTAAGAGGTTAAATCATTCACTGTTTTATGAAAAAGTAATTTTTCTTTAAATATGAAGACTCAAAGCAAAAAGTTGAAATGTTATCTTTTAGGCATTGCCTTATGACATAGGCTTGTCACCTATAATTTTATATTTTTAAATGTCCCTAATTTCACCAATAATATTTTTATTGATTTGACTTTTTAAGCTGTCCACAGCATCTAGTATAAGTAATGTTCCTAATCCTTGTTCATTAAAAATTTAATTGCTATATATATATTTTTTAATTTTCCAAGGAATGTTAACTGTTCTCGATGACAATAAAACTTTAAAATAACTCTTGGGAGTCTGCCAAGATGACGGCTACAGAGAAGCCACCAGGCTCACTTCCTCCAATATTCACAACCAAATTACAACTCAACAAAGACAACAACCCCTAAACGATAAAGGGATGATTATCACATATATTAAGAGCAACAGCACTGTGGATAAAAGTAGGAAAAACTGTAATTAAACTGTGTAATTCTGGGGCAATGCAATCCCCAAGAAGTAGGGGCAGCTTCCATGAGAAGTTCTTCTGCTTTTGTTCACTTAAGGGAACATACCCACATTGGGGACTTCAAAAACTGGGAGCTCCATGGAAAAGGTGGTGCGCAGAGTGGGCATGCAGGACAGAGAGTGCACTACCGCAGAGCTTGAATTGTAAGGGTACGTGGTGGTGATTACAAGCTTGAGCCTGTGGCTCCCAAACTAGAACAGTTGGAAATTGCACTAGTGGGCGAGTCAAATAGGATTAGGATCACCTGTGTCTTCTCATGTTCGGAGGCTATTATTTATAGTCTATGGATGTGATATATGAACTACCCAGGGTGAAAATGAAGAAAACAATTGAAAATTCTCATCAACTCAAGTTCGAGGTACCTAGAGCAAGCACCCCATGTCTGCATACTAGAAAAGCTAAGAGAACAACTCCTGGCTATGGCCCTGTGTCAACCCAGCACATAGTCCATACCCAGCACTACATCTATTGCTCAACTAGAGGTTTTCACAAGACATTTTAGTCAACTGGCGGGCCTAGGGGAGGAGATCACTGCATCCCCACCACAAAATTTGGGTACCCACAGCACCATAGAAAGCTTGAAACTTGATGCTCAGTGGATCTTCCATATTCTAGCATTCTAGGTCCTTTTTACCTGTTACCACTCACCAGCACCAGCGTTCCACCCATTTGAACAGGTGAAAAGGCATTAGTCCATGCAATATCACTTAGTGATCCTGGGTAAATTACCTCTGATTTTACCTATCTTCTTATAGAAAGGGTTTAAATTCAATTTATCAGTATGAGAAGAAGAAACTCCCTATAAAAACTAAAAATGAAGTACATAGCACAAATACTGGAGCAAAAAATCCACTAGAGAAGTCTTAGTACAGGCTTTGTGAAAAATGTCTGATGAGGAGTTGAGGTAACAGTTACAACCATGTTTGTTGAATTAAGAAAACCAATGTCCCCAAACAGAAACACAATAGAGATTAAGAACATGTGAGATTGGCTCAATTAGAATTAATAGATTTTAAAAATATATTCTAACTGAATTTAAAAATACTATAGAAGGCCTTAAGAGTAGACAAATGCAAGTAATGGAGAAAATTAACAAGTCTGAGAGCACAATGGCAGAGAACACAGAAATAGAGCAGCAAAGAGGAAAATAATAAAGTGAAAAATGTAAGAGTTCCTTAGGGTAACCTAAAGAGAAATAATATTTATATCATGGGGCTCCAGAAGAAGAGGAAAAGAATGGCATAAGGAAAATGTAAAAATAATTGCTAAAACCCTCTCAACTGGAAAACAAACCAAACATGGTAATCCAAGAGCCCCAAAGAGTTCCAAACAAAACGCTGTCAGAACAACACACTTCAACGACATGGAAAATCTGCATTCTCCTATAATGGAATATATATACGGCTTAACAATAAAACATAATTAAACATATGCAACATTTGTACACTTAAAAGTACAAAAAAATTTTAAAAATAACTCTTGACAGTCACAAAATAAGTAATTTTCTTATATTTTTGTTAATTACAGTAGAAATACAATGGAATCCCTTTGTGATAACAATTAAAAAATCTGACTAATTTAAAAGGCCTTCAAAACTTTGCATTTTTTAGCAAATCAAAACATTCAAGAGTCTCCACTCATTTATCATCCCTATTCTTCTCACCACAGGATAGAAGTTACCCCCAAAAGTATTCTCCCATAATCACAAACCTCTCCCCAAACTCAACCCAGGCTGCTCTGGTTTCCCTTGTCTGGTTTCCCTTCTCTTTCCCTTTCTTCAGCTTTTCTGGAGTTACATATTCCTTCTTTCCCTTGAGTAGCTTTTTTTTTTTTTTAATTTTTTTTCTTTTTTATTTATTTATTTATTTATTTATTTGTTCATTTGTTTTGTTTATACATGCACTGGGTACAGTCAGAAGCGCGGGAGGGTGAGGGAATTCACCGGAGCCAGAGCGGGGAGCAGAGCAGGCAGAAGGACCAAAGTACACTGCTGAGGGGAGCAGCGGGCGGCAGGAGAGGTCTGCACGCCATGTGGGACCCTCCTCCGGTGGCCGGGGAGCAGCCGGGAATTGAGCCGGCGCCGCAGAGGCCGCGGGCAGCCTCGCAACCCAGCGCTCAACCGCTGCGCCACCGGGGAGGCCCCCCTTGAGTAGCTTTTTGCATAGTGAAAATGTCTTGAACATTCTGGGATTGTCATTCTTCTTTCTACAAATTACCTAGATGGACACAACAGAAGACCTAGAATACAGAAGAAAGGAGAGAAGTATGAAAACTCGGAAACAAGAACCAAGGGTCTCCAAAAGCAATCCTAGCTCTAAATTTTAGATAGGGCTATGTTTTTCCCTAGAGCATTAGAATTTTTGGAAAACATTAAGGAACAACACAGGAGATAGATATCATTAAGTCCTCAAATGTATGAGCTATTCTTTCTGAATAGGACCATCAATTGAGTGAGCTGAAACAGTTGGGAGAGGTTGCCTGGAGAAGTTGGGGCTTGCATTGGGCCCCAAAAGAGGGCAAGACCTACTTAAATGAGAGGGGAAGGGAGGAAGTGCATCCCCCATGCCACAAATGCCATTAGCAATGTGCAGAATGGACAGTGGCATGTCAGATGAAGACTCACAAGACAGGCAGAGGAGAGAGAAGAGATGTGCTGAATTGGGTAGAGCAAGAAATACATTGAGATCTAGTGGACATAACTCTATGTGGTTGTGAGAGATTAATGAGCAATCAGAAATATGTGTAATTGGTAGGGTTCCATCCACATTCAGCCACAGGGAGATTTTGTAGGGCAGCCCTCTGCCTTAGGGCTTCCAGTTACCTTATATCTTCTGTATAAGTCCTTCTCCTTCTGTTTTTTTTCTCCACCAAGATAGGCAGATGGATAGAGTGGTGTAAACAGCATGGGCATGACCTCATGGGATTAAAGATGTAGCTCAGCCTGGCCACAGACCCCATCTTCCTCAATGCCGACTTTTGCCCTTGTGTGTCTCTTCACCACTATCTTCCTAGTTGTCCAAGTTGGCCCCCCTTTCTCTCTCAAGTCCCGTGTCCAAGTGACTGCCAGACCAGTTAGGATAATGTCAACACCAGAGAGCCTCATGACTCCACCCCCCTTTTTCATTCCCACTGTTGTTACTCATTTTGGCCCCTTGTTGCCACTATGAAAATTATCCTTTTACTTTATCCTTATCCCTGCCCCTTTACCACCAGTATTATCATATCTTGCCTTCTCTTACTTGCATCCCCATGCCAGCAGCATCATGTACCGATTCCTGAGTGTGCTGTGTCAGATCCTCTGCATTCTGACTCTAGCCACATTTGTGTTCTCATCTTTTGCTCCTTCTCCTTATTTGTCCAATTTAACAACTAACTTTCTGCTTCATCCCTGTTCTTAGTCTTTATTAGTGGGGTGCCTGTGGTGGCACTGTGAACTCCCGTGTCTCTTCCTATCAAGATATTCCATACTCATTTCAAACATATCATCATCTGTCTCCTTGAAGACATGCTGGATGCCCTCAGCTGGAATTTGCCAAGAACACAGTAAACCACAATGCATTTAGGTCAGGGAATGAAAGATTCAATCAATCAATGAATAAAGAGATTAATAAAAGATGGAATTCTTACCTGCACTTGAGGTATTCTCTTGCATTCCACGTCATTTCTTCTTGTCCAGGCTGAACTTCCCCAGAGCCTGTCTGTTCTGATCGATCCAAAACACCTACTAAAGTATGAATGATGCACTAGTTAAACCTAGGATTTGACTAGTTTTTCTTGCAGACACTTCCACTCTGGGCATGTAAGAGCAGTTGCAGATTGGGCTTCAGCACTGTGCTTTGAGTCCTCAGTTTGAGATTCCAGGTATGAGGAAACAGGAGCACACTCAAAGGTATACAAAACCTGAATATAATATTTAGAGGGATGCTCAAAGACTGTGCTCCTGGAGCGAAACACCTAATGCACAGGGAAACCCCTAGGCAGGTGCTAGGGGATGGTGTGCTGTGTGAATGCTTTAGCGTCTACTTCCGCCTACCGAATTGGACTGTGGGCTTGAGGGTTTTAGGAATAATGACCTTAGACTCTCTGTCTGAAATTCCTGCATTTAAAGATCTGCTCCTTCATATCACACACTATGAATTAGCATAAACCCCAAGGGCGAACTATGTCGTTAGTGAATGAACCTTTATCTTGGATGGCTGAGGACTGCAGAGAAATGAACAGAATAAAATTGTTCAAGTTGGGGCATGGCAGATATGGGCAGAGCACAGAGAATGGCTCCGGGAAGCACCCTGGGAGTACCGAGGCAGGTACAGGAAGACCCTAGGAAGTGAAGGCTGAAGGGACAGAAAGGGGTGAGGAAAGGGAAACAAGCCATCACCACAAACACCAAGGCCCTTTCTGGTCTCTCACTTGACAAGGTCTCAACATGGTCAAGACATGAACCTCTGAACGTGTCTGTAAAATGGCTGTACATCTTATAACGTCGTCTCAGATGCATTCTCCCTTTAGATTCCCACAACACCACAATGGGCCAGGGAAAGCAAGTGTGTACTTTCTTTATTTCACAGATGGAGACCCCCAGGCTGAAGCAGGGCTAGTGACCTGCTCAGGTCAGACAGCTGATGGAAGGCTACCCTAGGATTCCAAGCCTAGGGCACTGTGGGCCCCAGCCAAGTGTTCTTCCTATCACACTACCTTGCCTCTCAATGTGTCTTTTCTAAAACAAGCAAATTTAGCATATAACTAACCTGTGACAAACTATGGTTATCAAATCTGGTAACATGACAGGGACTCCTGGAGACTTAATGGTCTACACCCTGGTCTACTCCCTGATTTCTCAATTGACAAGTTCTCAAAGCATCATTCATTTTACTGAACTTTGTGGTCTTTGGGCACCCAGGTAAAAAAAAAATTGTCTCCTGGTCTCTGCAGGCCAGCACACACCCTGTGTCACAGTGAACTTCCAAGATTATGAAATGGGGCCAGGTGCTGTGCCTGCCCTCCTGCAGCCGTATTGAACTATTCAGAATGATAATCTGGCACGTGGCAGTAACTCAGACCGAGCAGGTCCATCACTCACAGAGGGTGGCACAGCCCGCAGGGTCCCTGTGTTTCTTGCCAGAGCCAGCATTTCTTCTCTAAGCCTTCACTCATCTTCTGCACAATTTATTTCTGCACAGCGCCCTTCATACACATCAGCACTGCTCACTTCACTCAGGGAGTCAATCACCGGTTGCCAGGAAAAAGGTAAGGCTCCTTGGTTGAGATTTACAGAGAGGCTTGGACTCAAGGTCCGGGGTGGGGGCGTTCGAGAGCAGGAGAGAGGAGCAATAAGCTTAGGGTGAGAGAGAAGACACTGTGCCCCGTTTAACAGGTGGGATGCAGTCAGGCACCATGCAGGAGGGGGAGTGGAGGTTGGAACTGGGGAAGAGAGAACAGAGCCAATGCCCCACTCCCCACTGTACCCAGAAACTGTCTACATTTGGCCTTCAGTTTTCAGAGCCACTCACTCAAATCCTATTGCCCAGGAGTGGGAACTACTTAAAATCAATCCCAGGGATTCAGAAATAAAAACGTCTGGGATATCTCTTAATGAAAGTAATTAAAAATGATACATGTTGGGGTAAAATAAAAGGGGACTCAACTAACCATACCCCCTTTTTCTACCTCAGTTCTGAAACAAATGAGAAGCTTCAGAATGTGACAATGAAGATATATCAAAATAATACCTTTATTACTGATAAAGCAAGGCTGGAGACTGCAGCCTAATCACGTTAGGTCAGTTGCATGATATCACTCAAACTGCAATGCTGATTACCCACCCAACCTCAGGTAGCTGTAGAAATGAGGCCCACCCTTGTAAAACTCACTGAGAGGAGGGGTTAGACATAAATGCTTCCTTAGAGCAGGCTGGCTGGAGTCAGAGGAGGCAGGAGGAAAGGGTCGATTCATAATCCTCTCCCCAAATCCACCAAGCAGAACAGTCAAGTGCAGATACATGGAATGGGAGAGCTTCCACCCGGAACAGGACAAGAGGAAGTAAGCATCCTGGCCCCTAACCTCTAATGCTCATATGTCCTTTCTTTAAGGATTCTAAAATGCTGCAGTATATTTGGAAGAGTCCTCTTTACAACTCTCCACGTGTGTCAGATTATAATTTTCATAAACACTTTACCAATGAAAAGAATGAGCTACAAAATGGCAGGTGACATGACCCCCGTCATCTAGACAACACACGATAGAGCTGGAATCTAAATCAGACTCCTGACAAATTTTTGAAGCCAGTGTTCAAAAACTCTAATGAATAGGTCACAAGACACTTGTAGCCACAGTTGTTAGTAACTACAGGGGAAGTCATCAGGCAGACTGATTGAGCCCATACAGGTAGCTGAGTCCAGGGAACATGCGACCTCCTGCGTGAGCAGAAATCCACCCAGATTTGCTTCCTGGCACAAGCCTGTAGAGAATGGATGCACCCTATTAACATGCCCAGAAATATTCCCAAAGCGGGTAGGGGCTTTCCCTACCATAACTGGTCCATAACTGGGAATTCTTTGAAAGTAGGAGTTACGTAACTCTCCTTTGTAGTTTCACAGAGGATTTCTTTATTTATATATGTTTTACATCACTATATCGTTATTCATTTTTTTACGTTTGCTTTATTTTTTTTTTTTAAGATTTATTTATTTATTTATACAAGCACTGGGTACAGTCAGAAGCACGGGAAGGTGAGAGAATTCACCAGAGCCAGAGCAGGGAACAGAACAGGCAGACAGATGAAACACACTGCTGAGGGGAGCAGTGGGTGCGGCAGGAGAGGTCTGAGTGCCATGTGGGACCCTCGCCGGTGGCCGGGGATTGAACCAGAGCTGCAGAGGCTGCGGGCAGCTTCGCAACCCAGCGCTCAACCGCTGCACCACCAGGGGAGGCCCTACGTTTGCTTTCTTATCTCAGGTGCAGTCCCCATAGAATTCCCACCACCAATTCATCTGTGCACCATCACTATAGTCTCTTGTGTTCTTCCCTTCCCTTTCGAGCCCTCTCCCTCTCTCTCCCCTGTAGAATGCCTTTGATTTATAGTTGTCTGTTTAGTTTTGTTACGTTTTTTATTGTTTTTGTTTTTTCTCTAATGCCTTATTTGGTTCTGCTATATTCCTCCTATAAGTGAAACCATCTGATATTTTTCTTTTTCGTTCTGACTTATTTCACTGAGCATATTATTCCACACCTGGTGCATGGTCCTTGCTGAATGGCCAAGCCTCCTCTCAGTGCTGGGGGTAGTAGTTCACCTCTCCCCTACTGTGGTGGGGCTACAGGAGCTGGGATCACCAAAGACGGTGGCCACTCTGCCTCTAGGAATTAGTCTGTTTTAATCAGTCACTGACTTTCTCTTTCCTTCAGCCACCTCCCAGGGGTGGGGGGGTACCCGGTTTCATGATATTGTATCTTGAACGGCAAACAGTGTTGCACCAGACGTGACTTTCATATCCTTGACTTTATCTTAATAAATAATCCAACATATTTAGCAGAAATCATTGAATCTTTGTTTAGGGATTAAGACTGGAGATATATTTAAACTGCACTGAGTACCGGTAATCCTGAGAAGGCTAGAGCAATCCTGACAGCACGATGGGGCCACAGCAGTTAGCACACTGGCTCAGCTACAGATGTTATTAAAGCAGCTGTCTGTGCTCAGCGTAGAGCAGATAAGGGAAGATCAGGATGCATGGGCACCTATGTCCACATACTTCACTCTCATAGTACATGGACACATGCCTGCACATCCCAAATGTATAAACTCATGCATTCAGCTTGCAAGCCTATACAAATTAATATGAGCTCATGAGCACACAGGGATATGTGCAACATGTCTATTCATGCATATCTAAGCATATGTCTATGTGTGTAATTTTGCAAGTAAATGTACAAAAATGTCTATGACCACCTCCCTACACTTTTGATTTATGCAAACAGCTGCTCTGTGGCCCTCTGGTTCAGGGAACAATGCTGAGGACATTAGTCCCTGGGCTCCTGATAAACTGTTTGCAAGCAGCTTTGGGTCTGTAGTAGTTGCTTCTTACTGCATATGAGTAGACTGGTCTGAATCTCCTGGTGTCTCAGCAAAGACTTCCTTGGCTGTCTCATGATGCCAGGAATTACTTGGAAACCCTACTAGAGTCTGATCAATTCAGCGTCCCTTTGCCCCAGGAACTGGGACACCGCTGAGAGCATTAAAGCATCTCAACTACCTGCCCACAGTCTGCCATGAGGCCACTGCCTCAACCACTGGTGGCCTTACGTTTCTTTCACTTATTCATTCATTCTCTCAACAGGTATTTTTTAACTCCTGCTGGGTGTCCTGTGCAAAGAGTTGCATACAATGCAAGTATAAACAAGGTGTGTTTCACTTTTAGGATCTTGGGGTGAGGGGGGAGATGTAAAGCCTGCTTACGAGAACTGGTTATGTAACAGTAATTGAGGCACCATAATCTAAGGTTCCAAATGAGCATATTTTGGGGGATCCCTGAGACGTTGGCTATTCATTAGAAGGACTCAAAGCATTCAGCGTTCAATTGTACTCACGGTTAATATTTCTTGCAACGCTGTAGCCAGAACACACAACTGGATATGTAAGAGGCTAAGACCCAAGTGCATATCTGCAAGAATCCATGTGCAGGCAGTTCCATGCTCTCTTCTTCCCAGGATTGAGCACCCAGGGCTATT